GTGCTTTTCTGGAATTTTTCGATTGGCACGATCTTTGGCATTTTCTGTCCTCCTTTGGTGTCCTAATGGCCACAATTGTTGTCATGTTTTTAAGTTCTGAACCCGTGTAAAAGTCGAGGCCTCAGAATATGTAATGCAAGGGAGTGCGATGTAAAACTCCACATAATAGAGAAGTTTTCAACTGCATGTCAAAATTAATCTGGGATTGTTCTTGTTTGCTTTATTTCGGTCTGTGAATGGTGTAGAAAACGCGCACATTCTTCAACCAATTAGATGCAAAACAAAAATAAATCGCGACTTGGCCCTCCGCGATTTCCCGCGCTATTGGTAGTTTGCTTGTATAATTTGTGTTCTCATCGACTGTTGATAATGTTAACCATCGTTATGATTGCTTGTTAGGATTTAGAGGTTTTGGTTTTTCGAAAGTCAGTTGAAAACTGCTCTTACAGACGTGGTGATGATGGTGGGATTTAGACTATAAAGGGGGTAAGTTTCTGAAGAAAGTGTGATGCTGCGTCGGTGAGAGAGTATAACAGGGTAATTTAGTGTTATCAACCAAGTTGATGATGTAAATTGGCCACTGTACAGAGTTTTAAAGCTGACGTTTTGAATGTCAGCCCTTCGTCAGAGCGAATGGTTTTTCGTTTTTCGAATTTAGATTATAGCCGCGGTGAACATAGTCTCCTATACTAGTAGGAGTTAACATTAGGCCCTCATGTCAAGTAAATATCGCATTGTGTTGGTTTCACTTTGGTGAAGTTAAAGGACATTCTGAATTTAAAACGGAAGCATGGGGCAAGTACGGGTGGTGGTGGACAGTGGGTCCATAAACTCTTCAATAGTCGCCAAAGGACACTTAATATATAGAAGGTTTTGAAAAACTGATACTCTTGTAAGATAATCGCAAGGCACGTATTATTGTTTATCAAACCAGTTATAAGTATAGTAATCAAGAGAGAGAGATTATGACTAGACGAGAGTTAAATGTACATTGTAAATAACTTGCTTTTCAAACTCGTATCCGGGTATTCTTAAAACTTACTCAGCCAAGTATTGCTAATAATCTTTTTAACTTCAGGTAACAGTATAACCAGCTAGTATTGAACAATATTGGCCACCAATAGAAAGTAAGATATAATCGTCCTAGAAGTTATAGTCTCTGTTATAATACCAGGATACAAGTTTATTATATGGCATTATGTCAGTTAAACGGTACCTTTGTATTTACTGAATTTAAGAAGAGTTATAATAATAAACAGTGCGTTGGATTGTATACTCGTGCAGAATAACAAATTTGCTAAACGATCGGTAGCCGAGAACTATTTGTACCTGAGTGTCCAATGGATCCGGGATGGTCATAGCTTTGTTTTTCTTCGCTTTATGACTGGCTTAGGAAATTTCGGCCTCCCCATCAACTACCAATCAGATGCAGAACTAAAACCCAGTCGAGACTTGGTCGCCCGCGTTTTCCCGCGCTTCAAACTGTTTGCTTGTTATTACTCCGGGCACTTATTGACGCGGGTAATATTTTGCTGTGTTTTCGTTGGCTGTTGAGATTGCAAATCGTTTTGGTTCAAATGCGCTCTATGATGAGCCTCTTGTGAGTGGTCTTTCATAGAATTGAAGAAAATGAACGACACTTCTTAAATTTAAAAACATATTTCGACAGTTCTTCTGTTATCTTCAGTTCTGAATAATACCAAGTGCAAAGTTGAATTTTAAGTGTGTAACAAAATGCTGATTGGACAAAACAAACAATAGTAAAATAACAAAGTATGCATTTACAAGGAAAGTTTTAAATTAACATGATAAAGTTGGTGATTAAGTGTAGGTTTCTCCCATTAAATATGGATACCTTCTTTGATTTTAAGTTGAAAAGTTGTGGGAGCGTGATCTAAGAAGTTAAAACACTCACAAGAACAAAGAATGCGAGTGAGTTAGCTTTGGTGGATTCAGCCACAGAAAAAAAAACATGAGTAACTGAATATTCATCAAATAAATTATTTAAAACAAGACAGTAACCATTATAACTAGGCTTTTGTATTTCCAGAGTGTCATGTTGAGAATCAATAAGACTTAAAAACCCCCGCCAGGTCTCTTGTTTGCATGCAGAACCGCCAACAAGATAACGCGCTGTCTAAATAAAGCGACGCAAGTCTTGCTTTTTAGGATGTTTTCAAGCCTTTTATATTCCTTCCCACCCCTGTTCGTTTGGTGCCACACAGCCTGTGGATATCTTCAAGAAATATGTTCGTCCGGTATGAAAGGTCCAGAGTGGAGTGATAGAGATCACTGGCACAATATCCACTGACAGCTACCTGCAGCTATCTTGCGTTTTGAAGCTGGACAAACCCGGGAGCCTTTTACGCATGAAAACTAAAAGGAATGACAAGAAGAAAGGTGAGGGC